AGTTTTGTGGTGGAGTGCTCCTGGTGAGGCACCTCCTTGCATAGACTCCTCAGTAAGGCGTGCGAGTTTCCAGTAAGGCCTGGATCTCAGTCCTGGGAAACAGGGGGGCTTTCCCTTGGGTGCTCTATCTAAACTACTCCTTATATCTGTTATTTCTATATCTTTTACAGTTCTCTTTATTTCTTGCTAGCCAACCTGTCATTATGCCAATTCCCTGTTTACAGATAACAATTCTTGTATTAAACTTTTAAACTTTGCCTGTTTCAAGTTGTGGTGTGACTTCTTTCTCCTGACTGGACCCAGGCTGATGAAAACCCCCAGGAGCAAAACCAAAAACAAAACACATAATTTTAATGTTACACTGCTTTCTTGGGCACCTGATAAAAGCAGTAATTTCCATGACAAATAGTGTTTACTCATACAGAGAAGAAATACACACAGTATTCAGAGAAGGAATGATTTACACATTTGGGATTTAGATGGCTAAGAAAAATGAATGCATGTAAAGAGATTGTTCTTATACTTTTTCTCTGATATAAACAGCTCAAGTAATCATAATTATGTCTGTTTACTTTGTGATGAGCAAGACATATACATTTTTTATCTAAGGAGTGTCTTGCACTGCCCTTAAAATTGACTTAAAAGTTGAAGTCAGAGACTCACAGACAACCAAATGAGTTACAAGCTCTCTTCCTTTCTTCAATGAAAAAAATTCCAAAACCTACTGTCATTTTAAAGAAAATATTTTCTGAGATCTCTCTCTCCCTCTCTCTTTCTCTCTGTCTCTACACACACACACACACACACACACACACACACACAGGGTTCTCTGTTTCTCTAGAGAAGACTAACACACAGGAATTCAAACAGATACTTGTACATCACCATTCACTGCAGCATTATTCATAAGAGCTAAAACACAGAAACAACCCAAGTGGCCATCAACAGAAGAATGGATAAACCAATGTGGTACACCTATCGGTTGGCCAAAAAGTTCATGTGGTTTTTTCCATAAAATAAATGGCACATTTTTCTTTTTTAAAATATATTTTATTGATTATGCCATTACAGTCATCCCATTTCCCCCTTCATTCCCCTCCACCTTGCACACCCCCTCCTCCCATTGCCCCCCTTTAGTTCATGTCCATGTGTCACAAATTCTTTAGCTTCTACATTTCCCATACTATTTTTGCCCTCCCACCTGTCTATTTTCTACCTACCGTCTATGCTACTTACAGCATAAGTACCTTCTCCCCCCTTCTCCTCCTCCCACTCCCCTGTTGCTAACCCTCCAAAAAGGCACATTTTTCATTTTCACCAATAACTTTGTTGATTTGTATATTTTGAGTATAATAGCTATTTCCCATGTGGTATAATGATTGTTCTCAATTAATGTCTTGACTTCATAGCTATCAACGTCAACTGGCCTACCAGACAGTGGAGCATCATTCAGTGGGAAATCTCAGCACAAAACTTCTCAAATCACTTTTGACCCGTTCAAACCAGTCACACACAGCACTTTCTCCATACCACTGCATGAATCTTTTTTTGTGTATGTGTTTTAGTTATGTTTTTTTCCTTTCTTGAAATAATAAAGCAAAATATGCTGAAAATGTCACTTATTTTCTTCTATTGCAGGAAAAACTCAGTTCTTGACAAAGCAGTAAAGAATTACAGATCAGCAAGTCTATTAGTATACAAGCAAAGTTTATTAGTGATACATCCTCATGGAAGAGAATGGGTCTTGCTGAGGTCGGGGGGAAAAAGACATAGGGAATAGGTAAAAGCAAAGCAAGGATGACAAAAAGCATTAGATCCTTTATCCTGAGGACTTACATAGTTGGCAGGGTGAAGTGAGAGAGTTACATATTGATTGGTGGGTAAAGGTGGTGCCAGCTTTCCCAGGATTATGTGAGTCCCTAAATGTAAGTATGTGTGGAGGGTTGTTAATACAGATTCTTATCTTGCTCCAGACCAAGTTTGTTCATCATGTAAAACAAAGAAATGACAGAAGTCAGTTAATTAAAGTTGAGGCAGTTAACCCGGAGTTATTTGTGTGCTCTTTCTGTAAGCGCTAGGGACCCTCCCATTAAACAGATAGTGACTAGAGGCAGGTAATTGACCAAGGCTATTTTATGGGCTTCTTCTTTGGGCACCGTGGACCATTTCCTCTTCCCACCTCTAGACCATGGGATGAATACACAGTTTTAAAGGCTTTCTTTTCCAGATAGTGGAAATGATACATAAGAACATCAAGGGCTCCCCTCCTCCTGTGCTATCATGGAGTTTCTTGTGATGTTCAGAACACTTGCCAATCTTATGGGACCAGGCTCAGGACTGCTGAGTTAGTGGGTGAGACATACTTCTCTCCTCCTCCCTGCCTTGGTTTACTATCTATCCTACCAAACACTTCCATCTTCAACATTAAAATGGCTATACAAACATTCACCAATTTTTATGTATTTTTAATGCATGCTGGTATGACAGCTGTCGCAATGCAATCTAACAAAATTGTTTTGAATGAAGTTAAAGACAACTAAGTGCTACTAGAGCCATCTTAGGGGAAAAAACCAAATGAACTTTTTGGCCAACCCAATATATATATATAATGAAATATTATTTGGCAATAAAAAGGAATGAAGTTCTGGTATATCCTACGACACAGATGAATACCAAACATTATACTCAATGAAAGAAGCCAGACACCAAAGGACAAATATATTAATTTATTTATATGAAATATCTAGAATAAACTAATTCTTAAAGAGACAGAAATGATATTAGAGATTACCAGGGGCTTGAGGGAAAGGAGGATTGGGGAGTAATTTCTTAGAGAGCATAGAGTTTCTGTTTGGGATAATGAAAAAGTTAGACACTGGTGATAGTTACACAACATTGTGTCACTGAATTATACTCTTGAAAATAGTTAAAATGGGCCCTGACCAGGTTGCTCAGTTAGCTGGAGTGTCATCCAGTACACCAAAAGGTTATTAGTTCAATTCCTGGTCAGGGCACATACCCAGGTTGTGGGTTTGATCCCCAGTTGGGCTGCACAGGGAAGCAATCGATCAGTGTTTCTCTCTCACAGCAGTGTTTCTCGCCCATCCCCCATCCCTTCTCTTTAAAATCAATACATATATTCTCAGGGGAGGATTTAAAAAAAAAGAAAATGGTTAAAATGGAAAACTGTGTTACAGATATTTCAGTAGTAAAAAAGAAAAGATGTAAAGGTTAAGCATTATTATTAAATATACCATGTTTTCCTGGAGAGAGAGGGAGATAGTGACACAGGGAGATGAAAGGACCCTTAACAGTCAAAGGCAATATGTAATCCTCGATTGGCTCTTACTTTCTAAATAAAAAGCTGTAAGATATTCTTAGGACCAGTGGGAAAGTTAAATAGCAGTGAAACATAAATAGGGACAGAACATTTGATGTTATCATAAAATTACTAACTTTCTTAGGTGTAATAATGCTGTTGTTATATGGGAGAATGTCTTATTCTTAGGAGATACACGCTTTAATGTTTAAGAATGATGTGTTACAATATCTACAACTTACCTGCAAATAGTGATGCAAAAAAAGATTGTGCGTGTGTTGGGGGTGTATGGGTGTGCCTGCCTGCTCCTGTGTAGCGAGGGAGAGGAAAAGAGAGAAAGCAAATGTAGCAAAACATGAACAGTTGTCAAATCTAGATAGAGGATACACAGGTGTTCATTGTACTATGCTGTCATTTTTGTTTATTTAAACACTTTTATAATAAGTTAGAAACAAAATAAAAATTTTAAAGTGACATCATTTTACTTCCCAGAAATATTCCTGTTAACATGTTGCTTTAAATCCTTTTAACCTTTTTTCTGTGCATAGTTAAGTATTCCTTTAAAACAACAACATAGAGTCAAATGTACATTGGTACCTCTTCATTTATTGTCAAGTAAGTTAACAAATATTTATTTAAAGCATATCCTAAACTGGCCAGGTACACAGTGAATATTAAAAGATCTCTGAGTTTTCACTGAATGTACAAAGAGAATTGTGCCTTATTACAACCAAAGTTTGTAAAAAATCACATAAGAGGAGATAGATTAGAAAACTGTGAACTTTTAGTAACTGCATTGTAATCCGGGAGCATCCTCATGAAATACAATTCAGTTGTTGTTGGCATTTTTAATTTTTGCTGTTCATTCATTGCAGAAATATTTGCTGTCTATACCGCTCAGCACCTTGTACTGTCATTGTAAGTGCTGTCTGCCTCTCTGATGTTCACTCTGACACAGGATCTTATTGAAAGGACAGCCACCATGGTTTCCTAATTTACCCACCAGTGGGTTCCAAAGGAGCTTAAATTGAGATTTGAAGAATGAATAGGAGTTAGATTCACGTTAACACTTGATTGGATCATGGTCTCTGGGGTTAAACTGCTTGATAGCAAGTGACCTTGGGCGAGTCATTTAACTTCTCTCTGCCTCAAGAATAATATTGTAAAACTTAAATAATAGACATAAGGCACTTAATCCATGTCTGGCATGTAAGAGCTAAATTTATTGACTACTTGTAGTTGTTGCTGCTATTAAAAAGAGGTACTATGTGCTAGGCTTGGTGCTGAGGTCACAAGAAACAAGACATAACCTGCACCTTCCCTACTACTTTCTTCCCAGTAGTTCTCTATTTTATACTAAAATAAACCTCTCTTCTGAATATAAAACATAGAAAATGTAAATGTCCTAAAAACATTTGTTTTTTGTTTTCCTTATTTTTGCCCCCTCCACATGGGTTGAGGTACTACTCTGAAGGCTTGAACTCTGGGGGGATAAATTGCCAGGAACACAGATCTCTACCATCTAAATGTTCACCAGCAACACCAGGCCTGGTGGAAAAAGGTGGTCACCTCTGCAGCCCCGCCCCCAATGAGTTCACACATGAACAAACGCAACTCTGATTGGTCCTTTCTCCTACCTCGCCGGCTTCCTCTATCGAATCGGCATAAAGATTGTTGATCCGTGGCGGCAACCGACGTACACAAGGGGCTTGAGTGTGTTGTGGAGCGAGCGAGAGGTCAGGCCATGAACTTGGGGTAAGCTGGAGCGTGAAAGGTGGGCGTCACCGGGAGGGGGTGAGGCTGGTCTGCCCTGGGATATGTTTCGCCGAGAACCTTCCGGGCCTACGGCGCTCGAAGTGGCAGTGCCATGCTCCCTGAGGTGGACTGGTCAGGGGGCTGGGTCGGCTTTACTACCCCCCACTGCCCTCGATTTTTCACTTCATAACTAGAATTTAAACTGTGGTTGCAGTTTTAACCCCCCTTCTTTCCGCCCCCTCTTTTACCTCTGGGTGGAGAGGGAGGGAGGAAGAGCGTGGAGGACTGGAGGTAAAGGGGGAGGGCAGGTGGAAAGATGACGCTTAGCGGTATTGGGGGGCGGGGGAGGGGGCGGAATCCTGGCCCAAGCCCCTGGTTCTGTCCTTTGGAGTCTGCAGTGGCCCGGCTCCTAGATGAATGTAATGTCTGCCATGCGGGGAACCGAGGCTTCTCAGGGAATCCCTGGATTACCAGTACCGGGCACATTACTGGCCCTAATTCAGTAGTGATTGAGTAAATAGAAAGGACTCTTGCCTGGTTTTTATTATGGGGATGTTTAATATTTTAAGATGATGATGCCCTGGCCGGTGTGGCTTAGTGGATTGAGCCCTGGTTAAGGGTCTCTGGTTCCGTTCCCAGTCAGGGCACATGCCTGGGATGCGGGCCAGGTCCCTGTTAGGGGGCACGCGGGGTGGGGTAGGGAGACAACCACACGTTAATGTTTCTCTCCGTCTCTTTCTCCCTCCCTTCCCCTCTCTAAAAATAAATAAATAAAATCTTTAAAAAATTAAAAAATGATGAAAAGTCACCAAACTCAGATTACTGCACATCCTTTAGCAACTAGATTTTATGTTCTGGAGTTTAGGGATAGAAAAATAAGTAAGACGGTCGGCCCCGAAGAAATTTACAGTGCAGTGGTAAACAGACATGTGGCTGTTTGATTGAAGGTATTTTTCTGTTTCATCAATGTAAACACGAACTTTTGTATCCCTGCAACAGGGAGACCCTTAAAACCCATTTATTCCCTAGTGTTTTGGCTTAATAAATACATTGAGGTAATTTGATTTCCCCGACCTTAGCAAAACCTCATTTCGTGTTTCTAATCAGACCTTCCCCAACCTTCTTCTTTGGCCCGCTGGATTTAATTTTGTCTCCTGGAAGTCACTTTTGTCCCACCTTTAAAAAAAATTAGTTGGCTTAGTAGACTATTCTTGTCTTTATAGGAGTTTTTATTAGGACCATAACAGATGTACAAGTTTATCGGCAGTGTCTACTGTTACTTTGTGCTCTTTGACTTGACATGCACAAATAAAAAGTATAGCAGATGTAGTTTATTATATGTAAATTTGTTGTAGTAGCAGAAGTGTCAATAAATACGAATATGTATTAGTTGAAATATTCAAAATAGAATGGAACTCTATCTGTGAATAATCCTGGTGGCAGTGTTATAGCTTATTTTCAAATAATGCCCTAACATGCTATAAAATGTGTTAGTAATGAGATCATTGTAAAATTGATAAATGGTAGGTACATATGTTTTGCACCTTTAACTTAAGTGAGAAGTACTGATAACAGCATTATTTTTTCCAGTTTACAGTTAATAAGACTTAAATGATAGTACAGTAATTGAATAATTTGTTGCTTACCAGTAACAAATGAAGTTTCAGGTTAAAGATAACAGATTCTTCGTGTTACTGGAAAGTTTCAAGAATATTCTCTCAACAGGCTGACAGGGACCAGAGGGGAGAGGGGAGGGAATTTCAGGGGGAAAGGGGAAGGGTTTACAGGAACTAGTATAAAGGACACATGGACAAAAACTAAAGGGGGTGGAAATGGGAGGGAGGTGGGGAGCACTGAGGGGTGGGCTGGGATGAGAGTAAAAGACAGAAAACTATACTTGAACAACAGTTAAAATAAATAAAAATTTTTTTAAATGTTCTCTCTGTACTTTCTAGTTTTATCTTGAATTGAAAAATGTTTTTAATTATAAGAATGGTTTCATATTTACAAGATTCCTGTATAATTTTAAAAGAAAGGTTTATTTTCTAGGTTCAAGTGAGTGTTTCTGGCTATTTAAAATGTTGCTGTTTCTTACGAGTTTTTTTTATTTTGCAGAGATGGTTTAAAGCTAGAAACTGAATTATTAGATGGAAAAACCAAGCTAATACTATCTCCATATGGTATGTTGTGTTACTGGAATCTAAAATGTTAGTTTTTTAACTTCCTGCATAAAATGTATACTAGTTTAACAGACTTTTTGCTTGTGATAGAATGATATTTAAATGTCACTTTGAAAAAAGCTGTTTATCCTAACGTCCTCAAATTTATTTTTACCAGTGATTGTCTCACTCTTACCACTGTTAGTATTCATAAAATTTAATGTTCCAACACGTCATGTGTTGTATATCTCTTTATTATATTCGCATATAACAAATAATCTTACTGCTTAATGAATACTCTAGGTGAACATATAATTATGTTCTATACATGTAAAAAATGCATTGTTTGAGAAATTAAATGTATAGTAAGACTACAGTTGCTAAGTCATTTTTAGTATTATAGTAATATATTTATTATTATTATTTATTTTATTATTTTAGAATTAGTTTTAAAACTCGGAATAAATTTGGTGGCCTTCGCATTCACGTTATTTTCTTTTTCCCTGATCTCTTTATCATTTTACTTTTGAAAATAAACAAAAATGAAACAGAAATACTTGATCCACATTGTAAAACATTTAACACTTTTGGTGTTAATATTTTTCTACTTAATATCTTAAAACATGCTGATTTTAAAAGATTTTTGTAACTGCTTTAGTATATTTTTAGTTGATAGCGTGGTAATTTTTTTTTTCTTTTGTAGAATGTAAATCAAAAATTTCTGTGAAGGTAAGTCAGAAAAAAGACTTTGACCTGACCTATTTTCAAATGTAAAATGTGGTTTTCTTTACAGTGACTTGAAAGTAATTTGTGTCAAAATATTATAAGGGGTTAGGAGTGTTGGTGATAAGTTATTGTTCCTTTGCTTTCAGGCTGGTCCTTTCACAGAAATGGAATCATAATATTTCCATTGTAAAAGCCTTTTAGAACCCTTGTCTCTAGATCAGTGCTGTCTAATAAAGCTTTCTATGATAATAGGAATATTTTTAAATTAATGCTGTCCAATATAGTAGCCAGCCACTAGTCATGTGTGATTATGAACACTTAAAATGTGCCTACTGTGACCAAGGAAGTGAATTTTTAATTTTATTTAATTTAAAATTTAAATTTAATAGCTACTGTACTGGACAGTGTAGTTCCCAAGATGTTTAAAAATAGATTTTCAGACTTTAAAACAAAAATATTTTTCTATTCATATTCATTTCATTTTTTAAAATTTTAGTTTTCAGTTACAGTTGACATTCAGTATTATTTTATACTAGTTTCATGTAATTAAACAATCATAAACTTTACAAAGCGTTACCCCTAATATTTTTCAGTACCCACCTGGCACCATAACTAGGTATTACAATATTATTAACTATGTTCTCTATGTTCCCTTTGTATCCCCAGACTCATGCCATTTTTCCTCACCAAAAGGGTGTAGTTTGCTTCACAAGTTCTTACATGCATTTAACATTCTCCTTTAAGAAGTCACACCTACCCTGGCTGGTGTAGCTCAGTGGATTGAGCATGGGCCTGTGAACCAAAGGATCATGGTTCGATTCCCAGTCAAGGCACATGCCTGGATTGCAGGCCAGTTCCCAGCAGGGGGCACATGAGAGGCAACCATACATTGATATTTCTCTCCTTCTCTCCTTCCCTTCCCCTGTAAAGATAAATAAAATCTTTTTTTAAAAAAAGATCACACCTGAGCTTTATGGAAAAAAAATTTAAGTTCTTTCTTTTTTTAAAAATGAAATTTACTGAATACCTACTCTGTTCTACTCACAGTACTGGGAATATAAGACAAAAATCTCTGCCTTGTGGAGTTTACTTTAGAAGGGGGTGGAATGGGCAGACAATAAGAAAAATAAACATAGAATATTATAAGATGAAAGTGCTATAGAGAAAAGTAAAGGAAAGAACAGGAAGAGGCACAGTCATTTCAGAGCTGCAGCAGCCTTGGGAAAAGGGAGTGGTAGGGAGGTGTGGGGGCAAAGGTAGAGCAGGAAACCTGCTGTTTTGGATAGGGTGGCCAGAGAAGACCTCACTGAGCTGGGGATACTGGAGCAAATGTTTGATGGAGGTGAGTGAGTGATGCATGTAGAATCTGAAGAAGAAAGTCCCAGGTGGAGGAATGAACTTGTGCTGAGGCCTAAAACTGGAGGTTCTTGTTGAATTTAAGGAATAATTAAGAAGTCCAGGTGTCTGGAGGCTAAGAGGTAGAAAATAAGATTAGAGATCAGTTAATGGGGACAAATGGGAGGGTGCCCCAGTCATTAGGTATTTTTTGGTCAGAGTGAGAAGTTCAGCTTTTCTTACAAGTAAGATGGGAACCTATGGAATGCTTTTGAAGAAAGTGACATGATCTGACTAAACATACGTATTAAAGTAATCACTGTGGCTGTTGTGTTGAGAATACACTGGAGCAAGGGTAGAAGCAGAAAAACCAGTTAGAAGGCCTTTTAGTAATTTAGGCGACGGGTGTAGTGACTTAGAGCAGAGGGGTGATGAGATAACAGTAGGGTCAGATTCAGGATATAGTTTGAAGATGGAGCAAAACAACTTTTGATAACAAGTCGAATGAAGCAAATGAGAGAAGATTCAAGGATAATTCCAAAAATTTTGACATGAGTAACTGAGGTGGGAAATACTGAGGAAAGGTAGCTATTTATTTAGGGACAGGAGGGAGAACAGGAGTTCAGTTTTGGACATGCTGAATTAGAAGTGTCTATTAGAAACCCAGTGGAAGTGTTGCATAGGCAGATGGAACCTGGATTTAAGGGAGAGAGACATTCTGGAGACAAGTTTAGTATTCACCATCATATGGATAATACGTAGGGCCAGAAGAGTAATGGAGTTGTCAGATGAATGAGAGAATTTAAAGAAGAGATATTGGAACTGAGCCCTAGGCACTCCAACATTAAGAGCTCTGGGAGAATAGGAGGAGCCATTAAAGACTCGGAGGAACCGTGAGAAGAACCAGGATTGTGGAGTCCTGGAAGTAAAGTAAAGAAAATGTTTCAAATGGAAGGAATTATCAACTGTGTTAGATGTTGCTAACAGGTGTAGTAAAATGAGGATTTGAGAATTGATGGTTGAATTTAGCAGTGTATAAATTATTAGTGACCTTGATAAGCAGTTCTGGTGGGTGGTTGGGTGAAGGCTTTGTTGGAATGGGATTATAGGAGATAAGAGGAGAAAGTGGGATCAGGAATTTTTTAAGATGTGAACCAGCAGAAAAGAAATGGTGATGATTCAGAACAAAGCAAAAGGTTGCTGGAGAAAGGTCCTTGAGAAAGAGTTATGGGAATGTGTATTAGTAACAGGAGGGCAAGCAGTTTGTATGCATACAGATGCTGGTACAGGTTTGGTGGAAGAAACTTGAAGTTTTTTCTTAATGCTTCCCTGTAAGATTTTTTTTTTTTAAAGATTTTATTTATTTATCTTTAGAGGGGAAGGGAAGGAGAGAGGGAGAGAAACATCAATGTATGGTTGCCTTTCGTGCATCCCCTGCTGGGAACTGGCCTGCAGGGAACCTGCCTGCAACCCTGGCATGTGCCCTGACTGGGAATCGAACCGCGCTTGTCTGTTTCGCAGGTCCGTGCTCAATCCACTGAGCTACACCAGTCAGGCCCTGTAAGATTTTTAATAAAATATTAATCAAAGTCTTAGGCTGAGAATGAGTATGAAAGAAAGTGTTAGGAGCTAGGGGAAAGTCGAGATTGTTGCTAAAAGAATGAGAGTAAATACACTTTAGAAACGTGACTGCCAGGTAGCACGAAGAGCTCATTTATTGTTCTTGGGTATGTATGTAAGATGAAACCAGATGTTGTGACTGTATGTTTTTCTCCTTGCATGCAAGCACAGAGTAGGTGAAAAGTTATTTTACCAGGTTTCAGATTTGCCAAGTATACATGCCATAGGGCAGAGGAATTGAGAATGGAAGATGGTGATGATATTAGTTGATTATGGAATTTAAGATTGGTAAGGGGGGACACGAGGACAAGAAGCAGGTGGTAGAATCAACAGATTATAGATCCCAGCAGAGTTAGAGAATTGTTGGGGTATACAAGAAAGTTAAGATGGACAAAATAGGAGGTGGTAGTCACATGCAGTGCTTGAAATTGAGATTATGGAGGGATTGCAGTTATGAGTAGTTAATTAGGTCAATGTAAGGTATCACTGTGGGAATGTGTAACGGGTGTTGTGAAGGACAAGAGTGTAGGAGCTGAGATCAAGGAAATGAGAATAACGTATGTGGATATGAAAGTACTGATAATTAAGACAGGAGTTGGTTAGAGGGCTGATGACCCACAAGCTAGGTTACTCAAAGAATAAAGGCCAGTAACCCATGGGTCTATACATGCTTATAAAGAAGAGAAGTAGTATGGGTGATGTAATGATGAGATTCAGTGCTGGTATGGGATAGAGATGTCCTGAAAGAACTAGAAAAAAAGTTCTTCTATATTCTTTATTATCCTGAATAAAGTAATAATTTCCAGTTGTGGATAAAGCTTTCAAGTGAAGATTTGCAAAGGTTAAATGTTAGTTTCTTTTTTTTTTTTTTAAGATTTCATTTATTTATCTTTAGAGGGGAAGGGAAGGAGAGAAGGAGAGAAATATCAATGTATGGTTGCCTTTTGTGCGTCCCCTGCTGGGAAGTAGCCTGCAGGGAACCGGCCTGCAACCTAGGCATGTGCCCTGACTGGGAATCGAACCTTGATTGTCTGGTTTGCAGGCCTGTGCTCAATCCACTGAGCTATACCAGCCAGGGCAAATGTTAGTTTCTTATGGATTCATTAACAAAATGGGAAGAAGTTTAGAGGTCTGTTTTATCACAGATTAAATAAAGGTAATTGTTTTTCATGGGCTATTATAAAGAAAAGATTTTTGGTGTCTTAACAGATGGGAAAGAAGACCAAGACTGGAAAATGTCCTTTTAGAACAAAGCAAGCTGGATACATTCTAAAATCAACACAGAATACTTGTATCAAGAATGAGAAGGAGAAGCAAAAGAAGATTGGTTTAGAAACTTCACTGGTAAAGGGTGAAAAAAATAGTATGGCTTTTTCACTCACTAAGGATTTATGCAAGGAGTATGCTGATAAAGACTGTCCTCATATCCAGAAAGAGATTTCTCTTGCAACCTCTAATATACAGAAGACTAGAAACACCATAAATACGTCTGTAGTAGCTAAACAGAAACTTTACAAAAAACACATCACAGGTGAAAATATGAAGAGTAGTTTGGTGTGTCTAACACAAGACCAACTACAACAGATTTTGATGACTATAAACCAAGGAAATAGATCTGTTTTGCTGACTGAGAATGGAAAGGAGGAGGAAACAAGTAAGACTTTCTAAAACTTTAATTAATAATTTCATTGATATAAAGTATTTAGAATTTTCATTGGATTTTATGTAACTGTGCCTCTTAAATTCTATTTTAACATTTAACAATGTTTAAAAATAATTACTCTTTTAAAGAACATTCATATGCAGAATTACATCTATAATTATAATATGCCATATTTTAAGGTTAATGGCCAGAATATTGTTCTCATGTACCATAGCCTTAAGAAACTCAGTTTTCCTCAGGTGATCACTTCCACATTGTCTTTGCCAGAAGAAAACATGTGGTACAGAGTGACTCCAGGCAACTTGTTGACCTGTATTGTGAAATTAAACTGTCTTGGCTGGCCCACAAGTACATAAGTTGGAAATAAATGTTTATCTTCTCGTGTTACAGGGGGAAAAAAGGAACCCAGTTTTCTGTGGACTCTGGAAAAGATGTTATTACAAAACACTATTATACTTATTAGAATGTAGGAGACTTTACTTACATTAATATTTAGTGTTCTAAAAATTACTATAGTATTTCTAGTGAAAATTGAGGGAACCTAACTCTGAAGATTTGACTTGATTGCTGAAAATGTTGATTTTCTTGGCCCCCACATTTTGCTTCTCCTAATTCTCAATCCATACTAAGGATTGGCAGCACTGTCTTTTGAAAGGAAGTAGTAGTAGAATGTTACATGCTTTCTGTTTCACTAGTCATAGTTGTATTGTTTTTAAAGTCATCTCATTTCAGCTTTGAGCTAAGGAATTGAGAACATGAGTAGAAATATTAAAATTTTGTGAGGCAATAGATAAAAGTAAAAGTAACAGTTATGAGAAAGATGCCCCATAACTGGTTTGGAGAACAGGTGGCTCTTACATACATACTCCAAAGGTGTGGAGATGGAGTTATTTACCCTCTTTTGATCTAGGTTACTCCTTGTAAGATGAGAGAGCTAGATTTTGTCTTTAAGTCTAGAATTCTAGCTCAGAGAACAAATATAAAAACTTAGTAGGGATAATGAGAGAATATCAACAAAGTTAAAAGCAGAATTTGCCTAATCATATAATGGCCTGCATGTTAGATACCTTTCTCTTCACTAGGAGAACTAGCACATTAAGGAGCAATTAGAATAATGTCTGAGCCAAGTAGATGAGCCCCATATTTGGAATAGATATCATAAATATCTGGGGCACAAAGACAGCAGTCCACGGTCAAGTTTTTCCCTCATTTTCTAGCTAAGTGAGAAAAATAAGGACGAGGTAATGAGTTTTTCATAAAGCTACGTTCTTTTATTCTCAATAAAGTGGTGAATTATGTTTTCATTTATATTATTTGTAAAAGTGTGGTTGGCAGGAGTAAGTGGAGATGTATTTTTGTTGTTGTTGTTTGCTGTTTGATAAAGCAATTTGTATGGCTTTGGCCATACTGCTAGGCCTTTTTACCTCTGTTGCTCAGTTTCCTTTTTTAACAGAAAGGGAATTATAATACCCACTACCAGGACTGCCATGAGAAGTAATTAATTAGGTAATATGTAAGATAGTGTTTTTTAAACTGTGTAGCAGTATGCCAAAATAAGGTATTGTAATAAATGTAATTTTAGTATTAATTTTAAAGCATACATTTTACCTCCTAGGTCAGTACAGTCTACATTTAAACAGTATTCCTAATCAGCCAAAGGATGAGAACATTATGGGACTACTACAAAAAACTGAGGCTATTTCACATGTCCAGGATGAAAATAAAAATCAGGAAACATCTAAGCAACCTGAGCAGAAAATTCTCATGTATGTAACTCATACCTGTTATTGTTGGGTCATCGTATGAATATGGTTTTGCTTTTCCTTTACTTTCTTGTGACATACTTACTCTAAATACTAACAAAGACACTGAAATAGAGAACACGGGGACAGCGACCAGAGGGGAGAGGGGAGGGAATTTCAGGGGAAATAGGGGAGGGATTTAGAGGAACAAGTATAAAGGACACATGGACAACATCTAAGGGTGGTAAAATGGGAGGGAGGTGGGGAGCACTGGGGGGTGGGCTGGGATGAGAGTAAAAGACAGAAAACTGTACTTGAAAAGAGAGATAGTTAATAGTTTATTAATATTTATGGAGTATATTGTGTAGAAACTTACACTGTATTTTCCTTTGTATTAAGGGCACTTTTTTGTCCAAAATGTTTAGGGAAAATTAAGAATGCACATTATACATCGGTATTTTGATTACATACCATGGTTGTAATGATGGACATAGTAATCCTATGTATAATGTGCACAAAAATGTGGGTGTGCATTATGCATGGTAAAATACAGTACTAAGGTTTCTGTTATTTTTTTTTGTCTCAGAGAGAATGTATGGAAACCAGCTGACATATTTAGTACACTGGGGGAAAGAGAACGTGATAGAAGTTTGCTGGAAGCAAAGAAAGCCCAGTGGAGGAAAGAGCTTGGTAAGTAATTATTACGACTTTTATTATCGTTTAGTTGCTTTATGGAATTAAGTATGAACTATATCTTTTAGTATAATATTAGAAGTATTGCTTTATAAAAGTTGCCATCAAGAGTAGTTGCATAAGAATGCTCTGTAAATGCATAAGATTTGTGGTTTTACATTCACTTAGATTGTATTTTTTGTTTGGCACTCTGTGGTGTGTACCAAAGCCAGAGGAGAACATTACTGTTACCAAAATCATTCTGGAGCTCCTGGATCTCAAAGATTCCAAAACTTTTCTCATTTCTTGAGAATCTATTATCATATTTTTCTATTACAGAAATCCTATGGGTTTAAAAAAGGTTTTTTTTTTTTAAAAAAAATAGAGAGCCCTAGCTGGTGTGGCTCAGTGGATTGACTGTCAACCTGCAAACCAAACGGTCGCTGGTTTATTCCCAGTCAGGGCACATGCCTGGGTTGCAGGTCAGGTCCCCAGTAACAGGCATGCAATGACACATTGATGTTTCTCTCCCTTTCTTTCTCCCTCCCTTCTCCCCTCTCTAAAAATAAAGAAAAATCTAAAAAAAATAGAGTGTTCATTTTTAAAATATTCAAAATGTTCTAATGGAGAATCATCAATATTAGTATATTCCATACAAAACCAAGCTTTATTGCTTTTTGTCAGCCTATAGATATCATACAATAGAAAAATTTATAATTTCTGTTAGGGTGATAATAACTAAGAAACTCGCATTACCTCTCAGAGTAGACTTAGCATCCAGAGTTTTGAAAACATACGAAGTAACAGTTCTACTTCTTAGGAATAGCTGTACTAAGCATGAAGATGGGCTTCACCCTCCTGTGAGGCAATCATGTTGGAACAGGACAGGTGATCTAGAAAAAGATAAGCAGAAAAAATAGGGAACGAAATGATATTGGAAGTGAAGGTAACAGGAATGAAGAAATTAAATGTATGGTAGCAGAGTCATCAGATTTGGAGATCTGTGTTTATAGCATAATTTCAGCTTTAAATATTTTCTTGCAATTCAAATTTAGGTTATCAAAATGCAATACAGAACTTCTGAAGTAAGTTGGAACCACTTTGAAATGACTTTTATGCTTTAATTATTATCTTAAAAATACAGTTTACATTCTTTTACTTGATAATGTTAGAAAAACACATCTTTCCATGTTAAAGCTATGCTTTCATTCTTGGAATTTAAATTTGTACATCTGAAGTTTTAAGAACTTGGGGTCTTGTTTGTATATATCTGTCTGTTAGACACAGGGTTTTATGTTTTTTACTTTTCCACCGTTATGAATAATAATAGCTGACACTTATTAAATATTTATTTTGTGCTAGGCCCTATACTGAAATAGGCACTATTATCGCTCTCTTGACAGAAGAACAAACAGGTTTAGAAGGGTGAATAACAGTTTACCTATAGTCACATAGCTGGGAAATGGTAGAACTTGGATTTGATCCCCATGGTTCTCTTTGAGTCCAGGGTTCTAGCTTTTTAAGTCTCTTAGTAGTAATTGAACAAACATTACAGGAAAGTAGAACCTGAGAATAATTAGCATAATATATGTTGTTCTGAAAGAATTTTTCTTTATTGATAATTGTAATAAAAAATTTTACATCCATTTATGCCCTACTTAAACTTCGTTCTGATTAAATGATTCCATACCCCTTAAAATTATTCTGTCTTGTGAGTTAATCTCCTCCCCATAAAACAGTTTTCATCTGTGTTGGAATCTGCACTCTTTAAGAAGGTCATGATTTGCCCTGACTGGTGGTGACTCAGTGCGTTGAGTGCTGGCCTGCAAACCAAAGGTCACTGATTCAATTCCCAGTCTGGGGCACATGCCTCGGTTGCAGTCCAGGTCTGCAGTGCAGGGCGTATGAGAGGCAACTACAACATTGATGTTTCTCTCCCTTTCTTTCTCCCTCCCTTCCCCTCTCTAAAAATAAATAAACAAAATCTTTACAAAAAAAAAAAGAGAAGGCCCTGGCTGGTGTGGCTTAGTGGATTGAGCGCAGGCCTGTGAACCAGAGGATTGTGGTTCGGTTCCCAGTCAGGGCACATGCCTGGGTTGCAGGCCAGTTCCCAGCAGGGGATGCAAGAGAGGCAACCGCATTGATGTTTCTCTCCCTCTCTCCTTCCCTTCCCCTTAAAGATAAATAAATAATTTTAAAAATAAAAAAAAAGAAGGTTATGATTTAAGTGACTTTTTTATAAAAGGATATTACTTTCAGATGAACAGGTTGCTTTAAAGAAGAAAGAAAAAGAACCTCCTGAAAAATGGAGTAATCCTTGGAAAAAATCTGAAAGTGATAAAATAGTATGGGAAAAACTTCAAATTCTTGACCAGTCTAAGGTAAGAAATTAAAAATCAAGCATTTATGGAATATAAATGGCTCGACCCACTGAGCCATACCAGCCTGGACTTAACTGCTGTTTTTTAATGCTAAGCCATGTTCATATCTTAAAGCTTATTTTTAAAGCATATGTTTTTTTTTTAAAAACTTTGCATATGATATTTGAAAACATGGTTATTTTGAACTTATTTATGACCTCAGCTAATCACTGTTTGCATCCTTTAAATTGTCTTACTATGTTAGCAGGTATATGTAGAGGTGCTAGACAACACCATTAGGCTCCTATAAAAGAATTCTGCAATTTTTTAGATGACCACAAAACTCTACCACTGACCATGTAGTATCCACCATAACGTTATCAAGTCAAACATAAGTATGTACCACCTCAGGTCTCGCTGTGGTGACCTTTAAATTTTGCCTGTGTTTTATATAAGAAAGTGTGCCCTTGTTTTTCTATTTGTTTTTAGACTTGTGCTAGTGTTTCTGGCATTCTGTCACAGTCTCCCAGTCAGGTAGTGGTGGTCCAGGCCAATGGTCACTCATTATCTAGAGCTGGTCAGATTTTAGAGGTGAGTCTTAAGTGTCACTACTTTGAATATGTATATTTTTTAGTATTGGATCACTGTGTAACCTACTTTTCTTGAAGAAGTGAGTGTAAGTACTTTTATTTTTAATTATCAGTTAATTTTTACTGAGTGCATTGTGCTCCTTAAATTTTAAAAACGTTATTGTTTCTTTTTTACATATAATCCCTGCTTCCTAGTGAACATTTACATGTTAGCAAATATATTCTGAAAATAAGTAGGCTAAAGGGATGATTCTGATGGTAGACATTTTCATTCAGTCCTGGTAGATTTTCTTAAAGAACCCCTCCAGATTAGATTGTTTGCATAGCTGTTTGTTCTGTTCCATACAGGGTTGACTTACCTACATCAGTTTTATAGTCTGTTGATAATTTTGCATTAACAAAAGGAATGAAGTCTGAATTATATTCCCACCTTTTCAAAAGCCCTTTGACTCTTAAAAGGTAATAAATTAGTTTTGATAGATGTAATTTTGGGAGAATTTTTATTTCTGGGTGAAAATTTTAAATGTGTAAAGGTCAGAAATTGATACATGTAAACAGTACTAAAAAGTACACTAAAATTATTCGTGAAGTTGATGAGAATCAGCTTACTTACTTTTCAACATTAGAAGTGAAGAATTGCTAATGCTAAGAATATTAATTATTTTCAATTACCAAAATTTAGGTTGAAATGCTAGTATATCATTTAGTATCGTTTAATTTCCATGGTTTTTAGGTCATTTATTACCTGGGAATAACCCATACTCTGGTATGGACAAATGGGAGTAACCCATACTATGGTATGGGCAAATAAAGAATTAACCATTTGGGGTGACTTAATTTTTAAACAAAGAAATGATCGTTTGTGTGTGTGTGTGTTTAATGAAAGCATATGTCTTTTTTAATAATCCAAGAACTGTAAAGTATTTTTATTTTGGAGTCAGAGATGGAGTTGGGGTTGCAGGACTAGAAGGCAAATACATACTAAATCCAGGGCTGAGCAACCAAAGGTTAAAGAGTATGATTATCTACTTATTCTTTTACTACTTTAATGCTGTTTTTATGTATTTGTATGTGAATGTGGTAAGACATTAGAAAGATGCTATTGAGGGAAAATAAATTGTGTTTAAAAAAATCCCCCTAAGTTCCTGTAAGCAGTTGGTTTTAGAAATCCCGGCCATAGCCAGGACTCTATACTACTTAAATATTAAGTTATAACTTCATTTAATTGAGAAAAGGAGAAGTTTGGTTGTAGGCAGAGTCACCAAGATCAATTTTGTTAAAATGTAAGGGATAATGCATATAAAGTGCTTAGAACAGTGGCTGACAAATAGCAAGTGCTTAATGAAGGTATGGAACAAATTCAAAAAGAGTGTAGAGGCTTTGTCTAGAAATAAATGATCAAAATTTACTCATTTGTCTTAGGCTTTGCAAAATGAAAACACTAGGTAAAACCCCAGAAATGTTCTGAAGAAAGAAACTTAAGAGTTCTTATAGTAAAAATACATTCTTGAGAAAATCAGTTCTACATTCTTAGCCCTAGGATTGGTCCATGGTTATCAGTCAGAGGTATCAGGTGGTCTGGATAGTATGGAGGATGGTGCTAGGAAGTTGAGTCACATCTGATGGCCTGGATAGTGGATGTCAAGTGGTCTGTATACATGAGACCTTGAGGAGGTAATCAGACATCTGGATGTCGGATGTATATCCAGGCATTGATGCAGAACTGGAAACTTTAAAAGTTTAAGTTCTCATGCTAGTTAAAACAAGAATAGAATTGTTTCCTCATCCCTTAATCTACTTGATTTTAGTATTTTAGTAGTTTGACTATAGTGACTCTTATTTCTTTACTGTGTACCTCCAAGATTTGCTGTAGTTATAGTTTATAAAGCAGGTCCATTTGGAACTCTGAGGCTATTTAGAGTCAGTTCTCTTAACAGGTTTCTTTCCTCTCTCTCTCCTTGATTTTTATTCTTCCTACCCAGTTGAATGACATTGTATTCTCATCTCTGTATTGTCCAACCAAACATTCTTTTACACAGTGCAGCTTAAAACTCCTTTTGTGTTTCTAAGAAACTTACTTACAGCCTCAGCCTTTTTGAGAATAACCTGTCCTTCCCTAATGACTACCACTCCCTGAGAAGTCTTTTAAGACTTTCATTTTTAGGAACTACATTCTAATGTACTCTCTAATATGAGGTAGAATGCAAGTCATTCTACTCACTTCATATTGCTACCACCAAACCATAGCTCTTCAGTTGGCCAACAAAAGATTCCATCTATTTTTTATTTTGTTTACCTTTTATTGTGTAAAACATGTATAACATTTTTTATCATTTTAGTAATTAAAAATTCAGTGGCATTAACTATATTTACATTGTCACACAACCATTGCCACTGCCCATCTTCTGAATTTTTTCATCATCCTAGATTGAAACTACCCATTAAACAGTAACTCCCCATTTCTCTCTTTACCTAGGCTCTGGCAATACCCATTCTACTTTGTGTCTCTATGAATTTGAATTCTAGGTACCTTTAAGTAGAATCACACAATATTCTTTTGTGTCTGTTTCACTTAGCATAATGTTTTTAGGGTTCATCGAAACTGTAACATGTATCAAAATTTCATTTCTTTTTAAGGCTGAGTGATATTACATTGTACATGTAATACTGCATTTTGTTTCTCCTTCCATTCAAATGTTGGTGGATATTTGAGTTGTTACCACCTTTTCGCCATTAGGAATATTGCTGCTGTAAACATTGGTGTACATATATAATCTCTGACTTTCTGTCTTCACGTCTTTTGGGTATATCCTTGTAAGTGGAATTACTGGATCATATGCTAATTTTATGTTTAATTCTTTGCTAAATTTTTGCCAGTTTTAATTTGGTGGTTTTATGTTACTGTTTTTCACAGCTCCTGCACCATTTTACATTCCTAATAGCAATGCACAGGGTTCTGATTTCTCCATGTCCTCACCAACATTTCTTTTCCTTCTTCCCTCCCTTTCTCTCCCCTCCCCTTCTCTTCTTTATATGTGTTATATGTTAATGCCTTATCCAATATGTGATGGCAGATATTTTCTCCCATTCATGGGTTGACTTTTTTCTCACTTGATAGTGTCCTTTGAGGCATAAAAGTTTTTAAATTTGATGGTATACATTTTGTCTCCCTTTGTTGCCTGTGATTTTGGTGTCATACCCAAGAAATCATTGCCAAATCTGGTATCAGAGGCTTTTTTCCCCTTTGTTTTCTTTTTAAGAGTTTTTTATGTTCAGGTCTTCAATTTCTTTTAAGTTAATTTTTGTCTGTGGTATAAGGTAAGAGTCCAACTTCATTCCTTTCCATATGGATGTCCATTTTTCCCTGCACCATTTCTTGAAAATATTGTACTTTCCCCATTTACTATTGTTGAAAATCATTTGTTTATGTACGTGAGGGCATATTTCTGGGCTCTCCATTCTGTTCAGTTGTCCTCTGCATCTGTCTGTTTGTGACACTGTCCTAACTGTTTTGTTACCATGCCTTTGTAGTAAGTTTTGAAACCAGGAAGTGTCCTACAATTACGTTCTTCTTTTTTAATATTGTTTAAGCTATTGAGTGTCCCTTGAAATTCCATATGAATTTTAAGGATGAATCTTTCTATTTTTGCAAAAAGACTGTGAGACTTTCATAAAGGTCACATTGAAAATACAGATTAATTTAGGTAATCTTGATAATGCTAAGTGTTCCAGTTCATGAACACAATGTATCTTTCCATTTATATGACTTCTTTAATATCCTTCAGTAATGTTTCGTAGTTTTCAAGATACATGTATCTTGCCTACTTACTCCTAAATATTTTATTATTTTTGATGCTATTGGAGGCATATTGTTATATGCCTCCATGGATTTGTTTGTTACTTCCTTTCCCAGATATGTGACTTATTTTTCTGTGTTGCATTGTTCGTGCAACTTTGTTGAATTTGTTTTATTCTAAGTTGTGTCCTACAATTGTGCTGAACTTGTTTATTCTGAGAGGTTGTGTGTGTATAATCTTGAGAGTGGTGGTCATTGTATGGCATGTGAGTTTGATGTGAATCTTTCAAATTGTTTTGTTGATGAGTAGATACACATATATGGACCAGTATTAAAGCTAAGAAATTCATATATGTGTGATTATAACTGACCACATATGTGTATCTTCTTTTTGACTTTTCAACTGACTTGAAAATATTATGTAATATTTCTAACATGCAAAAGGATATGAAAGACAATACAAAACACATTTCTGTCCATGTCATGAATCAGGAAGAGTATATTATATCATACAGTTCAGAGTTCAGCAAGAATTTCTATGGATTTATGTCACTAATGGGACAAGAGTTTTTAAAAATAGGTCATGCAACCCAGTAGAGTAAAAGTAGAATACCTAGAACTTTTATATTCCTATT